GTTTGCGCAGTTGAATTCCAAGCTCAAGGAGGATCAGCGGTCGAAGTCAACTAAGAGAATCGGTAAGAAGATCAAGCCTGAGAAGGTTCGTAGGAAGCCAGCAAAAGCTCCAGGGAATGCAACGATCATGAGACGACCTGCTAGTGCTGACACGCTGTGCCAAGCGTATCTCAAGCGCGAGCACTCCAAGGCTTTCCATGCAGCCAGGGTGACTGCGATGAGCAACGGGAAGACACCCGATGAGGTTAGGGAAGCGAGCTCCGAGGCAGGCAAGGCTTGTTTAGAGGAGATCCGCGAACTGTTTAAAGCGAAGCGCATCGATAGGGTAGGACAGCCGCTCGAGGGGGGCGACTAGTAATGCGTCGCGTTGGCACTCTTGGGCACCTTGGTTCGACGCACTAGCGAATGCATTGGGAACCCCCGCGGGCCCCTAGAAGCCCCTACGGACCCCATGAGGTCAAGTACGGCCTCCTACGGATCAAACCCCCGCAACCCACCTCAATCCCCTCCCCCCCAAACAAAGAGAGGTGAAACGATATGCAGCCCCATGCATACCGCGTACGAGAACAGAAGAGTGCCCCTCGCTCGGTTTAGATCTCTCGTCAATTGCCATGCGTTGGTAGTTGTCGCCGTCTGCGCGGCGAGAGGCCTCGCGCTGCTGAAGCTCTGAAGGCTCCACGGCAGAAAAACAGCTCACAAAGCATCGCACTCATCATCATCGCATTCGTGTCTCCTCCTCCGTTAGCGTTCTCCCCCATGCTCCTCACCCACTCCTCCCCATCTTCGCCCTCATCACTATCCCGTTCTCCTCTGGTTGGTTTACATGTCTGCGGGCCGTGTCAAAGAAAGAGAGAGGATGAATGGCGACAAGCATGCGAACCGTTCCCTCCCGCCAATCGCCGTCTAGCACGATGTTGTCCCGTGGAGTTGGCGAGGCATCCAGCCAGAGATGCGACGTTCGACCTCTAGTTCGTAACATGTGATACCTACGAGCCCTGTGCGCAGCGCCTCTCCAACCCTACCAGATGGCTTGACAACAAGAACAGTGACAACACATTGGGCCAACACGTCAACTAACAGTTCTAATCGATTGCAATCAAATCTGATGCTGGATAAGAGTGAGGGGTGTTATGTATGCACATGGACATATAAGTGTGCGTCTCAGGTCACTCTGGAACTTCGGAACGTCAGGCAGGTTCGTTGGTTTCGAAACCCTCTGGCTATTCGTTTCAAGTTCTAGGATTTTCTATGGTGGGTCCCACGGATAGCGAGCTGTCTTCCCTCAGGCGTGACGCGATGATCACAACCGTTGTTACCATCACCACCACGCAACCAACTACTGTAATCATTGCCGCCGCCGTCTTCATCCTGGTGTACATTGGCGTCTTCTCGACCAAGCGAAGGAGAAAGATGGAGGGAGGGGAGGAGGAGAAGGAGGATCAGATGCGGAGGGAGGAGAGGGAGGGAGGAGCGGTGGAGGGAGGGAGGGGGGGCGGAGGAGGAGAAAGAGGAGGAGAGGATGACCACCTCCTGCCAATCGCAATGACCACATACGAAGTAGAAAGAGGAAGAGAAATTGTCACATTCACTGCCACTACCATGGCAATCAAAGATGGCCCCTCCCGTGCCCCGAACAAACGCTGGCTTTGAAAACGATTGCGCCGCCTCTGTCCGTAGCCAGTTTGGCTCAAGCAAGTCCTGCGCTCTCGATCTGTGAATCGCGATCCCGACATCGTCCCTGATGGCAGGTTCCCCACTGAGCTTCACTGAAAGGGCCAAGGTTGAGATTAACGAGATGAGCGTCGTGGTGACTGCAATGCAACAGAAACTCCCGAACCACCGCTACGTGGACTCGCTGTGCCAAGACATCTGCGACGTGCTTCTGGAGTGCGCGAAGCTGGACTCCCTGCTGCTAGCAAACCCAGACCCCATCGGCAATGACAAGATGATATTGCAGATCAGGTTTGACAACCTTTGCAAGTTGTTCGAGGAGGTCAAGACGCGCTGCGACCAGGTTGTCCAACCTAACCCGACAAAGGTGCCAAAACGCTCCCCGTCGTCACCCCTGAGCCCTGTGCCCGAGCCATCGCAGCCAGGAGCGCCGATCGAGACTGCCGAGGAGCCGACGGAGAACCAGAACGGCAACGAAGCCAGCCAGCTCTGCGACAGCCAGTTGGAGAGCCAGTTCTGCGACAGCCAGTTCGAGGACAGCCTCCCTTGAGGGGTTCTGTGAATGACCCGTGCAACTCAACGTCTGATTTTATCTGAACGAGTTTGAAAGCGCGACCGTCTTAAGTCGACGCCGCCGTCACTGCTGATTGGGTCACGGGATCCATCGGCGAGCGATCTGGACAGTCGGCTCGAAAGAGATCTAGAGCGTCCCCACTTCAGAAAACACCAGAGCCTATCGTCATCGTCGTCGTCGTCGTCATCAGCGTCGTCATCGTCTTGTTGCCGAGGAGGCTCTTCTTAACCCCCTTGCCCATGTTTGCTCAACGGCGTAGGCGCGACCGAGTTCTGCTAGGTGTGGCCGCGCCTGCGGGGGCGAACAAGGGCGTGGGGGATTAGAAAAGCTTCCTCCCCGATCCGACGCCTCGAGGTCGACTTCGAGAGCAGATCTGGAGGGTGAGAGCGAGCAGGAGGAGGAGACTAGAAAGAACAGACAACTCTTGGGCGCCTGAGCTCCGTGGAGGAGGAGAAGGAGGAGGAGAAGGAGGAAGAGGAGGTGGAGGGATCCAGAGGCCCCCAGAAGGTGAAAGAGAAGTAGGAGGATCAGGAGATGGAGGAAGCGGGATGTTACTTCCGTGGGCCGCTGGAGTAACGTCGACCTCCTCCTCCTCCTCCTCCTCCTCCTCTTCCTCCTCCTCCTCTCCTCTTACTCCTCCTCCTCCTCCTCCTCCCCCTCCTCCTCCTCATCATCATCCTCCTCCTCCTCCTCCTCCCCCTCCTCCCCCCCCTCTCCTCCTCTTCACCCCCCTCCTCCTGATCCATCCCTCTTCCTCTTGGTCCTCTCCATGTTCTCCTCTTCCTTGTCATCCTTCCCCTTCTCCTCTTCCTTGTCCTCTCCTTCCTCCCCCTACTACTCTCCCTTGCATCCCTCCTCCTCCCCCTCCTCCTCCTCCTGGTCCTCCTCCTCCGCTCCCCTATCTCCTCCCCCTCACCGTTCTGAGCCGAGCTCGGGCCCCAAACTATCCGAAGCCCCAAAAATCAGAATTTTCCGGAATTCTCCGGAATCTGGGAAAGTTCTGGGAAATCAGCAACTTGTCTTGAAACAAGACAAGCCGATGATTTACCAGAATTTCTCCGGAATCTGGGAAATTCTGGAAAATTCTGCTACGCGAAATTGTTGAGGTCTTCGGATCCTTTTCCGTAGCCATGTCGGCTCAAGCCGCGGTCGGGCCCCGCCAGTTTCTTTCAACAACATGCCCCCCAAGGGCAAGTCCAAGGCCAAGGCCAAATCAAAGGCCGAGGCTGATCAGTTGCAGATGCCGCAGGTGAGCGAGGCCGAGGTAGAGGAGGCCAAGCGCCTGCTACAGGATGCGGATGAACGGCACAGGGCGAACAGCAACATGCTCTACTGGCTGAAGTGCAACGAAAAGAGGGACGGGTACGACGCAAAGAACGGGAAGGACAAGAAAGAGTTTTTCTTGCGCTGGGTCGCGTGGTCCACCAAGGAGAAGAAGTCCAAGAGCTCGTCTTCTCGCACCGTCACCAACGAGAAGCAGTCCAAGGACGTCGGCAAGTGGGTATCGAAGCATTCTTTGATACAGCAGCTCGGCGACGACAAAGCTTTGAAGAAGATCGCCGTCCTCAACAAGATCCCTTCGAGGCACAGGCCCGACAGGGACACGAATTGCGACGACGAGTGGAGTCGCGAGTACAAGGTCTACGATGACGAGGACGCGGAGGTGAACACAGACACCATCGCACATTCAGTCACGGCCGAGAAGGAGCTGGAGGGCGTGCAGGAGAGGACTGAGGCATTGGAGGACCTCGCAGCGGCGGGCCTTCGTGGAGACCAGCCACAGGGCATGGGTGAAGCTTCAGCCAGCGCTGCCGCGGTCACGGCCCCCGTCAAGATTGAAGGCCAGGAGGCTAACGAAGATCTCAAGACGTTCTACTCGATCAAGAACAAGCCGAAGCTAGTGTTGAAAGCGTTCAGTGAAACGATCACCGAGACGAAGAAGATGTACGCGATTGCAGGCGAGCCCACGCAGGCGAAATACCTCGGGCCTCTCAAGGCAGACATCGAGAAATTGATCCCGAAGCTGAGGACCGTATTCGATCAAGTGGAAGCCGTGCACCTGGCCGAGGGTACCGATAAGGCCATGGATGACCCCCACGTCCTCGCGATCGCTCGCAACCTCGACGCACTCTACGTGGAGTTCAACGAACTGAGCGAGTGGCTCCAGCGCATGGTTCCCAAGAAGGCTCGCAAAGAGAAGGCTGGTGGCAAGCAGTAGGTTCGGCGTGCGATGATGCTCTGACTCAGTTTTCGATCGGCCAGTCAGCAATCCTGAGCAGATCGTGCGCGCGGCATCGGTCGCACTTCAAGTGTCGTAGTTGCTCGAGCTACGTTTTGTCATGCAGGCCTCTCGTCTCCGAGAGGTGAGTTCGCATCTGGCCCAGCATCGGGCCGCCGCTCTTTCAGGTAGACCTGAGCACAAGGGGAGTTGCGCTCGGACAGAGGCGGTCGTGACGCCTCACGCTCTCGAAAAAAAGAGTGGCCCAACAAAGACTCCAAACAAAGTCCTAGGTGCCCCTGCGGACCTCTACCTCCCACATGTGGCTCCCAAACTTCTACGGACCTCCAGGATCCCCATGCGGCCCCAAAGAGCCCCAACGACGAACTAGGACAAATACTCCTTGCAAATTCCTGCAACCGCTAACGGAGTTCCACGGGACCCTACTGTCCACTAAGACAAAGATCCCCTAAGGATCGATCCCGAGAGAACCCAACGGGCCCCGAGAGACCCTTACTTGTACGACCCCCAACGGGGCCTACGGAGACCTATATGCAGTCCCTCCAAACATTGTTTCATACGGTGAGCTTCGTTCGTAAATTCAGAGTAAGCCTCAGGCGGGAGCGCCGCCACCCCACAAATAGATCCCCCCCACCACCACCACCGCCACCACCACCACCGCCGTCTCATCATCCTCCTCCATCCCTCCTGCACCGCAGCCATTTTGGCGTCATAGAGCTTTGCTCCATTCGCACAATGAAGCTATGCAGTGTACGTCCCCCTGCACTTGTAATTGCTATCGTTTGCTTCTGCTCAGTTGCGTTCTGCATGCGAGGTGGTGTTAGGAAGCGGTTGCTCGCTGAAGAGCGGCAGTCTGAGAGACAAGCAGATGTTACTGTGAGAGGTGGCGGCGTTCGGCAACGCCTCAGGGTCGCTCCGCTAGCTGCCCCGACTCCGAAGGCAGGCGTCGACACAACAGACAAACCGTTGAATCAACTTTTGATGAAGCGGTGGTGCCAAGGTAAAATTACGTGCAAGGATGTGCTTGAATTTGCGGTGGCTGCTCAATCCCAAGGGTGTCCAGATATCGAGACGCTGGCAATCCGTGACATCAACAACGCAGCTCGGAATTTGATGAATGCAATCGGCTATCCCGAAAAGGCACCACCAATCAAATTCATCGAAATACCAACGGAAGTGGTCGGCAAGAAGCGCGAGCTACCCATTATCTGTCCGATAGATACGTTGGAGAGCTTGATTGCTAAGAACCCAGGACGGTTTGAAAAAACAGCCAAAGGCCCAGATAATGATATCACTTCTTTTTGGTATGGCATGAGAGGGACCCCAATGTATGAGCGGAATAAGCGCTTCATCGACATCGAGCGCACGATGGCTGTGAAACTTCATGCGGATGGGGCTCCGACAACAAAGGTGGATGGGTTGATGACAATATCTTGGTCAACTATGCATGGTAGTGGCGCGACAAAGGAAACTCGCTATGTGTTTACCACGGTCCCAAAATCATGGATGCATTCGAAAGCTGTCTTGGATGTAGTATTCACTCGCCTCGCCTGGGCGTTCAATGCTTTGTGTGATGGTAAGCTGCCAATGACCGACTGGCAGGGGGCAAGCATGGCAGGTGGGCGAACTCTGGCGCAAGGCTGGCGCCTCGCAGTGATTTTCTGCGGTGGCGATTGGGAGTTCTATTCGTCACATTGCGGTTTTCCAACGGGGCAATCGGTTCCGAATAATTGCTGGATGTGTCGTGCGAGTCCTTTGGAAGGGCCTTTGAACTGCTATCATGTTTGTGCTGATGCTGGTTGGAGGGCCACGCTCAAGTCTCACGAATCATATCTTAGAGAATGTGTTGATCGCAATGTACCCCCATGCACTCTGATGAAGATCAATACGCTTCAGCTCGAAGGGTTCCTGCCTGACGCCATGCACGGCATGGACGAAGGCTTCACGAGCCATGTAGCTGGGAATATCATGTTCGAAATCATGGAAGAAGCTGGCTGGGGTCCAAATCAGCGCACTCGAGCGTCCCGTTTGAATGACGATTTGAAGCAGTATTACAAAGCTTCCAAAGAAACAGTGAGAGTCGACGGGAAGCTGACTTATGAGAGAGTGCGGGCAGCTGGGGATTGGCCTCTTCTCAAGGCCAAGGCCGCTGCAACAAGACACGTAGTCCCTTACATCACGCAACTGGCCTCGAGATTCAATTCGGGAAGTGATCACGATGTCCGAAGACTCATTGTCTGCAATTGCTTGAACGACGCGTATAACACAATGAAGAAGGCTGATCGTTTCTTAACTCAGGGCCAAAAGGACCATTTGAGACACATCAGTGTTACTATGCTGGGTTGTTATCGGAACTTGAGTCTCGAGGCGTTGGAAAGCAACACCAGGAAATGGAAGATGGTCCCCAAACATCACGAGACGCAGCACATTCTTGAATATTTGGCTTGCGTTATCAACCCTATGCACGTTTGGCTATACGCCGATGAGGACCTCCAGCGCCTCATCAAAACAATAGCAGTTCAGTGCCACCCTGCCGCAGTGCCCTACATGTGTTTGTTTAGGTGGGTTGTGCAGACATTCGGAGAATTCGAGTGAAGCCATCGGTGCCCCGTGGGATGAACAAGTATTTGCTCCGTCACTCCAGCCAGAAATACTATTATACATCAGCTTTCGCTGTGTTCCGCCTGCAGAGTGCAATCAGCTTTGAGAGCGAATGGCGACTAGGAGGAGAAGGAGGAGACTGAGAAGGAGGAGGAGGAGGAGGAGGAGGAGGAGGAGGAGGAGGAGGAGGGGGAGGAAGGAGGAAAAGGAGGAGGAGGACGAGGAGGAGGAGGAAAAGGAGGAGAGGAGGAGGAGAAGGAGGAGGAGGAGGAGGCGAGGAAGACGAAGAAGAGGAGGAAGAAAAAGAAGCCGAAAACGAGGAGGAGGGCGCGGAGGAGGGCAGGAGGAGGGAGAGAGGATAAATGGAAGAAAAATCAGGCGGAAAGGAATGAAAGAGTGGGAAGAAACAAGAATG